GAAGGATGCGGGCGACGATGTGCGGAGGGGCTGGGTAGCGTGAGGTGACAGGCTTGGACTGCAGGTCGATGCCTGCTAGAGGTGCTGCCCTGACTGGTTTGCCTTCTGACTTTTTTTTTTTTTTTTATGACTAAAAGCACTTTTTTTTTCTAATAGGAAATAGTAAATTAACCCAAGCTAATAAGCCCTAATAAGCCCTGCTGGGATCCTGCTGACTCTTCATAGGCACTTTAACCTGCGCTCCACAAAATGCCTCTTAATTCTTCATCCACAGGTAAAACCTGTTAGTTAATGCCAAAACTGAGACTCTGAATTCAGGCCCACCTGGGGGACAGTGCTTAAGACCAGAGCTCTGATAGCGCATGGCTCATCATGTGGATATAAAATGTAACCTACGAGTTCCCAGTCTGAGCTGTGGTTTCATGAAAGTGAGTCCCAGAAGCCAGATTTGTGAGAATACCTCATTCCATCCATCAGGAATGACTTAGGGGCTGGTGTGGACACAGGCGTAGCGGTCTACAGTCTAAAGCAAGATCAAGAGTCAAATGGCCTGGTCTTTGCAGATGCGGTCTCTACGTGAGCCCCCTGAGCATTTATGTGTCTGTTTCTGGTTAATGCACACTCTGGATAATCCCCCTATGACTAATAGACAGTTGACTTTAAATAGTTCACACAAATTACCAATTAACAATGATGGTTTGGAAAAAAAAAATTGTAAAAATTGAGCAGCAGATGAGATACCCTTGCAATTTTACAACAGTTCATGTTAATTCACATATATTGAAGCATGCAAAGTTTAGCATTATATGCAGGCATTAGTTATGCTGAACATTATTTATTCAGTGGTTTGTGATGAAATAGTTGGCTAAACAAAACAGTCAAATCCCCATCTTCTAGTCCAGGATGTGAATGGGAACAAAGGAGAAGGCTCTTGTCAGTGCTTAGAACTTACACCCCTAAAAGTGTTTTTAAAAAAAATCAGGACTGAACAACTCCCTTATTGGAATTTAATCAGCAAATAAATTATACTTTTATTAGAAAAAAATCTGCAATTTCATAAAAACTGAGGTGCTAGAAATCTGAAATTGAACAGTTTTGTCTTTGTCATGACAATTTAAGTAATGTAATATGTTTCAATAAAGAATCTGAAGATGCAGCTTTTTGATAGCATTGAGCAATAATGTATGGTACCCAGTATTAACCTAGGTATTACTGTGTGCTTGTTCTTTCAGAATATTATATACTGACTTTGGTATTGTGATGGAGGAAATATAATTTCATTTTTAGTTTCATGACTGTGGTTCAGTAAGCACAGTGTTTCCTATTCATACAAACTATTATGGCTGTCTGCATTAGGTTTATATATATAACAGGTATATAAGCTTTCAGATAATGTGTGTGATTGCATGCAACGCTATAATTTAATGCTATGAGGAGCACTTTCACTGCATAATATAAATAGTGGAGAACCTTCTTTACTATATTTTTTATTGTTTAGATTTAGTAAATGGAAAAACACTGTGCAAATGCACAGTCTGGATTAGTCACCGAGACATGATTTTTTTGTATCTCTAGGGTAGAAGATACCTGATCTTGAAAGGATGAGGAGAAAAGGTGTAGAGATTCATTGTCTTTACATTCAGTTTCCTTCTATGTATGTGTAAACCAAAGAAAATGTAGATTGAACAGGTCTCTGAAGCAATTAGCAGAGCAAGCAACAGCCAGCTTTCTTGGAGCATGGGGTATAAGGGGGGGGAGGGAAGAGGTACACAATGTGAATTATTGTTAGGAATAATTTCTGCAGTTGGGATGCAGGAATTTGTGAACAGCTGAGGAATAGTCTCAACACACTATCATCACAAATAAGCAGGGAAGGGCAGGGAACTGCAAAATAAAAAAGGGTAGAGGGAGAGAGGCTGATTTCAAAGGATATTCCTTCTGGGCTTCTATGCATTCTTCCCTCTATGTATCGTGGGTATGCAGCATTTGAGGGTGCTGCCTTTCTCATATCTTCCCCAGGATGCATAAAAAGCTACATTGTAGCTAAGCTTTTTAGCAGTGGCCTACTTAATGCAAAACAACCAGTAATGTTTTTGCAATTAAGTTTAAAAAAACATCACGTAAGGCATAACCCTTCAGAACTTATCCTTAAGGCTAAATAGTTGATAGCGTTCAAGTGAAAATATTTAAAAACAAAGAAAGTTACCTTATCACAGTTAAAGCATAATTTTAAGTGTTTTTGCATTTCCTCTTCATTGCAGCAGTACTTGTTAACAATGAAATAGTATATTCATTTTCTCATCCACGCAGATTACCTCCCAAACCATTATTCGCTGAAGATGGATGTCACACCCAGCACATGGATGGTGCATCCAGCCGTTCAGAAAGGTTGTTTAACTTTTCATTTAACCATAAAACCATTTGACAAATACAAACTCATTATAGCTAGCAGAGCTGAATGGAGGTTTTTTTCTTAATAATTTTTCCTGAGTAACATATCTGAGCTCATGCTGATACATGTCTGGAATAAAACCACTATTACAGCGATGATGCAGGGAGCATTTATGTTTTCATGAATAAGATACTTTTCTAACTTAGACTGAAATAGAATAGGGCCAAATACATCTTTTCTTATTCACACGAGTAGTCTTACAACTTCAGTAGAGTACCTGAGCCCTCACACTTTCACTTTTGCTCACTGGTAATACATTTGCTCTGGTCTGTTTTTGATAGGTTGTAGCCCCTTCTTCAGAAACCTGTAAACAGCGGACTGAAAGACATTTCATCATATGCGTATTACTTTGCAAATATTCTTATGTCAACTATAGAACTTAAGCTTCATATCCACATAAATTTCTTAGAGAATAACTTAATCTGTGTGTGAAAGATACACCACACACAGCATCCCCCAAAATAATGCATGAGGGTAGTAAAACTTCAACAAACTCACTAAAATAGTCCCACTGTAGGTCACTGAAAAATGGGAAACAAGATCATAAACTGAGTCTTTTGGTGACACTATAGAGTATGAGTCTTGATGCACAAGTCCCTCTCAGTGTATGATGCTGTCCCAGTCCTTCACTGTTCCTCATTCCTTTTCTCTGGTCATGTCTGCTTGTCTCCAAATGTAAAACCAAAAAGAAAAATTTATGGTAAGTAGTAAATATAGCAATGAGTGGAGGAAGGGTAATGAAAGATTAAAATTAAATTAACAATGTTTAGGTCTAGAAAACAAAAGAAGGATAAAAATAAAGAATGAAAAATAGCATATTAGAGTTGTAAATGACCTCCTAGGTCACTGAGTTCAGTCATTGCATACAGCCACAAAATTTCCATTCACTAAATATTAATAAATGGGAGTGATCCTGGAAGCAAGCAGCATAGGGTGTTTTTGGCTAGGTAGAATCAAAATTTCTGGTTGCACTGTCTTCAGCAAATATATGAGTTCTATCACTGCATCATTGATCTGTGTGTGTAAATATCAGTTTACCTTTCTCATTTGCAAATTGCATGCACCTCTGCTGTATGTAGTGGAACTTGTATGTGGCTAGGAGCAAAAGAATAAAGTGAAGCCTTAAAACAGTCTTTGCATCTTCTGTTTGATGCTGTGGGAAGCCAGGGTGCCACATTTTAACACTACGTCCTAACTTTGACATGTAGTTAAAGCTAAAAACTGAAAAAAACTGCCTAAAACAGTGAGGACTTTAAATAATAACATGTAGGAATAAAGAGAAAAAGTACTGAAGCAACCAGCTTTAAAAAGATTTATAGCAAGAGAGGCAATACCAAGGGGAGTAATAGTAACAGTAATGCTCCACCTTTTTGATATCTAACCATTTGACTTTGTGTAAAAAGGAAACATTCAAGAATTATGACATAAATTAATTGGCTGAAAACAGTAGAAATGATGCATCAATTTACGAGAGATGTACTGCTACCTTTTGCCAGTGGCCTACTGTAGAATAATGCAGACAGCAGAGTTCAGGTTTCTCAGCAGAGGTAGACTGTAGGTCTATAACATTCAGTTCCAGCAACATTGAGAACCCTGATATTGTGGGTAGAAAGACAATTTTATTGAACTTCTGTCAGAGACAATATAGGACTGTGAATACAAAAAGTGTAAAGATCTGACCTGTGGGATACAGTGGAAGAAAACAACCTCTTGGAAGCTGGACCTCTTTGATAAGATATGACTATATCCCCACAAAGACTTTGAAGCCTTTAAAAAGTATAGACAATCTAAATTCAGAAAAGAAATGTCTAACAGTCTGAAAAAAAAAAGGTAAAGAGTTACTTGGGGGAAAGGAATGGAGGTTAGCAGCAAAGCGGTGACGTAATGAAAAGGCAGGCTCTGTCATGTGTGTGCTAAGCCATTCAGTCTACTATGCAGGCAAATATTCTAAAAGGAAACACTTTAAGATTTAGGAAATATGAAGCAGAATCTTGTCTAGAATAATACTATTCCATACATTGTATTTAAAAACATATTTAACAGCAAGCCATTATATTTAAAAACATATTTAACAGCAAGCTGTCTAGAGTGTAAAGAGTTTAACAGCAAGCTATCTAGAGTTCACAGATTAAGAGATTGCCCAGACAGTCAAATATGGAACATCCACACCCGAGGGCACACGCTTACTGATAGGAATAGGTGAACTCTGTGTGTGCCATGCAGTAAAGCTCTTTAACTATTTCACAGCAGGGCTGGAATACCCATGTGGAAGGATAAAGGCAAGATGTTGCTGCCTTAAGAGAAATTATTTGGATGCTGACAGAACAAGCTTTGTTATGTAGGATTGTTTGTGTCCTGCACAGTATCTGCAAAAAGGTGAGCATTTTCCAGGAATGAAACCTGGATACTGCTTGACTGTAGACAGCTGTAGCTAAAAAAGCAGTGTTTGACTTTACCAAAGGGAGGCTAGGGAAATTAGGAAAACTGTAGGTGTTCACATCACATCTAATCCATGTTTTAATTCACAGGTTGCAAAATACCTTATAGCATGCCATCCCAACCTGTTACAGGGCTTGAAATTGTCTATTGTAATTAATTTCTAAACCTGTAGGGTGAAAGGGCTGCTAATATGTGAGGGGTAATTTTTCCCTGATGAATTTTATGGATTGCAGAGGGAGGAAATTGATTTTTCTGCCGAATTAAGTATTGATTTAAAAGTAGCTTTCTATGCTACCTAGTTTGGGGTCATGGGGTACTATTTCAGTGGATTTTATAGATTGCTTGCTGTGTTTTCCTATTTCAATAAAATCTTTTGGCATGGATGCAGGTTTCACTTTCATTACAATTGGTTGGACAGCAGCAAGTGGTTCAGTGATCACGGAAGTTCATGAAAACCATAACCTTTCTCAACA